CACACACACACACACACATACATGAGTAGCCGAGAGCTATATCTGTATATCTATGCACGCTTTCTATCAGTGATGCTATACAGCCAAAGCACACTGATACTGTAGTGATGTTCATATATATATATATATATATATATATATATATATATATATATATATATTATAATTTGGGTAAAATGAACATGTGCTTTGATAAATTTTTGATCTATATAGTTTGCCTAGAAATTGAGTTTGATTCGCATGTATTGTAGTAACGCATAAGATTTATTATAGTTCCGTTTTCAAGCTGCTCTCACTGTAAAATATATATTATTAGAATGTGAAAGTTTCAGTACAATTAGATCAAGTTGTTTCTCAAATATTGAATTGAAAATCATATTTAAACTTGTATAAATATTACATTTAAATAAATTTTGTTTGTGTATCTTTTTTTACTGAAGTATGAAGCTATCATAAAATGTTTTTATGTATATTTATCTTACCATGAAATAGCCGAAAGTTGCAGATGTGGCAATAAATTAAATTAATTAATTAATTAATTATTATTTATTAAATACATTTTAATTTATTTATTTAAATTAATTACAAAAAACAACAAAAAAATGTTGTAGAAAAATCTTTCACATACATTAGGGGCGGTATTACAGAAAATTTTGCCGATTATTAAAAGCTTGACTTTTCTAAACTGTGGTATACCTTGAAAACGGTTATCATCCTATGCCTATATACGAACATTGATATTGAACAATGTGTGTATCAGCAGTAGTCATATTGTTTTGTTCTATTTTATTGTATACAATTATTTATACAACGATGGCCATGTTATTTTACAGTTGATTTGTTCAATTTCTATATTTGAATACTATCTGGTAGTCTACCCAGAAAACCATAAAGCACTCTAACTTTTATTTTTGCTCTGTCGTTTTTTTATATATGCTTGTAATTTATTTATGCAGTGCATCTGCATAAAATGTTAGAAAGACTTGGATAAAGATGTAGATCACCCAAGTCTATCTAAATGAATAAAATCTTTCCAAAAAGAGCTATTCAAATCATCTGGGGAAATTATATTCATGTTGCAGTATATATCGCAGCAACTTAATCTCGCAATGTCAGATTTGACCAATATCATGCAGCCCTAGTACATTCACACTGAAAGAGTTAGAGCTCAAATCCTTTTTTTCCTCAGATCACAATTTTATTTTTTTACGTAGCCCGAAAGAAAATGCTGTGAAGACGGTAATGTATTCGAGGGTATTGTCTCAGACCACATAAGTGCCAACCTTTTATTTTATTACGTTCACTATAGCTTTGTCAACTTTTAAAAAGGCAAAACGTTTAAAAAGGCAAAACCATTAGCTGATCATAGGGTTTAGAATCCTTTGTCCTGCTGTCCAATCAAATGGCATGCGAAAGTGACATCTAAACAGTTACAGTACTTGCAAATTATAAGCCTATTACTTCTAAATATTTTTGATGTATTTAAAATTTCAAAAAAATCTTTATAACCTTTAAAAATGAACCTAAAAAGGAAGTTCTTGACCTCTTTAAAAGCAAAGCATAGCTTCAGTTTAAATAAACATTTTTAATCACTCATAATTTTGAGTAAAACCAACAGAAATTGGATTAGAGTAATGCTTTCTAGTCTGCATGTATTGAGCGTGTTTGTGCTATTTTATAAAGACTGTCTGCTTTCAAATGGTTGAATTCAGTAGCGTACACATTAAACTGAAGTATACTTTTGGTTTTTGAGCACATTATGTAATTATCATTTATGTCTTCACTTGTTTTCTTAGGGTGGAGGTGTACAAGGGTCACAATGAAACAGAATTATAGCCTTTATGTACCTGTCGAGTTTTGTTTGGATACTTGGTGTTTGCTGACATGTCGGCTCACAAGACACATTCATCATGAACACAATTTCCTTTCACAGTAATGTTCCCCCTCTGGAATCTAATGCTAAAGCCCCCTTTGGTCGGGTGCGTCTCAAAGCGCTTGAAGCCAGTGGTGAAACTACTGCTCCTGCCGCTACAGTCCCATCCTGGATGAAAGAGAAGAGCTTATCCAGGAATGTGAACACACCGTCATCTAACAGCAAGGGTGAGGAACACTGACTTACCTGTGCTTTTACTGTACATGCACTGATGTCTAATATACAGTGGTTGTTTTCATTGGCAGAGATGGTTTGTTTTGATTGATTGGATATACTAATGTTGCGCATTTGATGTTTTGATATTTTTATATAACTTATTTTAATTAGACTTTTTTATTTATTTTAATTTAATTAGAGACTGCTTTTATTATTATTATTATTATTATTATTAATAATAATAATAATAATAATAATAATAAAGATGATTAAGATTGTTGTTGTTCTTAAAAGCTCAGTGTCAACCACTTTTTTTGGACATGAATGCAGTTCAAAGACCAACAAAAAATATTTTTTTTTTTAATTATTATTATTATTATTAATATTATTATTATTATTATTACTACTACGACTACTATTACTACGACTATTACTACTGCTATTCTATTATTACTAAGACTACTGTTATAATGACTACTAATACTACTATTACTAATACAACTATTACTACTGCTGTTACTACTATTACTATGTCTACTGTTATTAAGACTTTTACTACGACTATTGCTATTACTTCTATTAATACTATTACCACTATTACTACAACTACTATTACTACTACTATGACTATTACTACTGCTATTACTTCTATTACTACTATTACTATAACCACTATTACTATGACTACTGTTATTACGACTTTAACTTCAAATGCTACTATTACTTCTATTACCACTATTACTAAGACTACTATTACTACTTCTACGACTATTACTACTGCTATTACTACGATTACCACTGCTATTACTATTTTTACTGCTGCTGTTACTACAACTACTATTATTACAACTACTATGACTACGATTATTAACATGACTACTATTACTAAGACTATTACTACTGCTTTTACTTCTATTACTAATATTACTATTACAACTATTACTAAAACTACTATTACTACTACTACTACTACGACTATTACCACTGCTATTACTATTTTTACTACTATTACTACTGCTTTTACTGCGACTACTGTTTTTACGACTACTATGACTTCAACTACTATTACTATACGACTATTACTACTGCTATTACTTCTATTACTATTACTACTATTACTATTAATATGACTACTGTTTTTACGACTACTACTACGACTATTACTACTACTGTTACTACTACAACTATGACTACTGCTATTACTTCTATTACTACTACTGCTATTACTACAACTACTATTACTACGATTTACTGGTATTACTTCTATTACTACAATTACTGCTACTAATCATAATATATTTTATACTATTATTTTAAAACATTTTCAATTATACTGTTATCAGTAGTAGTAGTATCCAATTTATATAAAAAAAATATGTGTTTTTATTGATTTGTAATAGAATATTTTATCATTTAAATGTCTTAAATCTCAGTTTAACTTATTGAATGGATTCTTTTTAAGGAAAAGTATTAATTTCTGAAAATAAAAAGGTCTAAAGTCTGATTTGATTGCTAAGATTGTTTTTTTTTATAAGACAAACAATTATTTTATTTATAAAGTTGGTTTACTTACTGTAGCTTTTTTCATATAAAGATGTGTCTGATAAGGGTTTCTAAAAATGTGTAATTATAGTTTAAATCATTTGATCTAATTTCAGAAAACAATACGGTTCCATCTGACTGGAGATCAATGCTAAAGCCTGTTTCAAAGTAAGTTGTGCATGTTTTGCTGCATCTCCAGCTTCTGGTATTTACTAATACTGTCTTGTTTTTACTATTTTTATTTTTTGAAATTATACAAGAACCATATTCTGTCATGTCCTCTCAGCAAAATTATTTTAATAACATCTTCAAACATATTTCCCTAACCAAATCATCCTGCTCTTCATTGATTAACCGCTTGATTCTCCAGACGCTCTGTTCCTCCCACTTCTTCAAGCTCTGCTGGGATTGGCTGTCATGATTTGCGTGTCAAGCCGCTGCGTCCTATAAGAGCAGCGGTGGGTCGAATCTGAAATAAATCATGCTCTATTCACTCATGTGCTGCTTCCATCAAGATCTTACTACTGTAAATTCCTGTTTAACTTTCTTGCCCACCTTCACAAACTTTAACCCATCAGAGGTGAGAGAAGCGATGCTAAACCTTTAACGTGGCTCATGAAACTGCAGTAAAGGGTCATTTTTGTTTATTTGTTTTTCTTTATTAGACCTGTCAGTAATATAGAAAGCAAGGGCTTACCCGCCAGGAGGACAGAAGCAGTTTCTTCTCCAAAGACATCTGTTCCTGCTTCATCTACAACAACCATCTCTATTAGCATCAGCTCCTCCAAAACACCCTCAACTACCCCACTGAAAAATGGGTCAAAACCTAATGGTAAGGTCGTAGGAGAATGAGAGGCTGTGAAGTTGTTTAAGAATTTCATTTGTGTATATTCATTTATAGATTTCATTATATTTATATATTAATTTATTTTTCATTAATATACGGACAAATACTTTATTTTTCTAATAATCATATTCATATACAAGGATTTACATTAACACTCGCCAAATGCGAGTAGATTTCAGCTCTGGCAGGTTAGCCAGACACCTCCACTAGCTACTTTGGCTGGTTGAAAATCATTTTTAAATTGTAGTTTTCTTAAAAGCAGGGTTCGACAAGAAGCATGACCCTATGTTCGTGCAAATGTGATATTAGAATTGTGAAGTAGGATGACTGACAAAAATAACTGTTTGCACAAGCACAAGAATGGTGAATACAGAATGAGAGCATGATCACTCGCGCTAACAGCTGATGCGATGGGCACAACTGTTAAAAAGCGTGCGCGTGCTCCCGTTTACTTGCGCAAAGCAACTTTTGCATACAGTTATTGTTTTTAATTATAATTTTTTACAATAACATTGCTTTAATGGGAGATTATTCCGTTTATGTGTAGTTAACTGGTGATCTGGGACTTTTAGCCAGGACAGATTACTGTGCATATTTTAGATACTTGCGAATAATTATTTCTTTAAATGTAATGTTTTTTTTTTAAAGAAAACTTTTGTTGAATTAAAAAGTGCACCTATACAGCTATATCTTCCTTGTTTTTACACATTAACAAATTGTGGCTAAGAAACACTTATTTGGTGTGGTCAGAGATAAATTTGGTTAATTCTTAATTTTGAGCCCTGAAAAGTCGTGAAATAAAAGGTGATTGCATTATAACAAGCCATTTGCTCATGCACACTGAGCAAGCTAATACACAATACACACAAGAAGTTAAATTAATGACAAGGCATGTGGACACAACACAATATCTAAATCAAGCAATTTAGCATGTCAAAGTCCAATTTAAGCAAAATGTATTTTCCCAACAAGAAAAGTGTGGCTAGTGAAAATGGCGAGTGGCTAATAATTTTGGAAAACTACTAGCCACAGTGGCTGGTGATCAAAATATTTATATATATATATATATATATATATATATATATATATATATATATAAATATAATTGTTTTAATTGTTGTTTTATATATATTTTATTATTATTATTATTTATTTATTTATTCACCAGTCAACATGCGGAGGTAAAAAAATATCTGTTAGAAATGCTATTTATTATGTATCATTAGTATGATTTATAATACAGTTTCCTCACGGGGACCAAAATAAAGATCAATTGAATAAAGATCAACATCAAAACTAACTTCCAAGGAAAAAAATCTATAGTTGCATAGAAACATATTAAATGCAGTTCAAATGTATTTGTATAGCACTTTTCACAATAATTACCAGTGCACACAATTCACAAATATATATAAATGCCATGTTTTATAAGAATAAATATAAGAAATAAACCATTAAAAACCTAGATGAAATGATGTTCATTGTTGTTCTATTGAAAATCTATATGATTAATATAAAATATAGATGAATATAATATATAAATATAAAAATATAGAAAAAAACATTTGTTAACAAAAAGATTAACGATAATTAAGCAATTAATTTTAAGCATTAAAAAAAGTGCAATGAACGTTTCTAAAATCAGAACATGATAATAATCTGAGAATTAAGCTTTAAACTAAATGAAAAATACTACATCAGATAAAAAAGCACCCAAATAATTACAACTCTAACTAGATAGATAGGCCTTTCAATATGACTTTAAGCTGTACAGAAGTGTCTTGAAAAATATCTAGTCAAATATTATTTACTGTCATCATGGCAAAGATAAAATAAATCAGTTATTAGAAAAGAGTTATTAAAACTATTATGTTTAGTAATCTGTTGAGAATTTCTGTTAAACAGTAATTGGAGAAAAAAAAAACAGGGGCTAATAATTCTGACTTCAGCTGTATATATTTTATATAGTTTCTCTGTCTTCTATTTATCCATGTGTTTTTCTTTCTTCCAGACTCCAGCAGCGTATTTCCAGTTAGTCCCTCTGGGACAGAGACGCACAAATCACACAAGGTGTGTGTCAAAACAATCATTACATGTGTGATCTGCACTTGTGCATTTCTGTCTGCACCAAAGTGTGTGAGCGCTGAGGGATTACTTCGTCAAGGGGCCTATTTAGACTGTTTTAAAAAGGACCTTTGGGGCACAGTTATCTTTGAATAGACTATTAGAATCAAAATAGTAAAGACTGAGCAGGCTTTTCAATCCCTCTTACTAAAACAGCATTGAAAGGAATAAATAAACCATTGAAGATCCGTCTCATTTGAAGCAAACGTTCATTTATTGTGTGTTTGTTTTAGCCGGGTTACATTCCTAAAGAAGACATTCAGAAAGAGCTGAAGGAGATTGAGATGAATATGAACGAGTTGGAGAAAAAAGGAGTAGAGCTGGAAAAACAACTCCGACAATGTGATGAGGGTCTGTATGCACACTTGTTTTTGTGAATTGTATTGACATTCTATACGTTTCCTTTTTTCCATACTGTACACACTTTATTTTCTATCACTCTAACCTAAATCTATTCTAAACCCAACTCTTAACAGGAAACTGCATTTTTACTTTAAAAAAAAATAAATAAAAATAAAAGCTTAGTCAAAGTGTATGATTTTTGAAAATGGGACCTTGCCAGTGTCCTCATAAGTCACTTTCACCTTGTAATTCCTGTCTCATACGCATAGCATTTATGTCCTAATGTCAACACGCACACAATCAAATATAAATGCCTTTGGCTCCTTTGTTTTATGCGAATTTCAATAGATAGGACTTTTATACTTTAAGTCTGTATTATATGCTTTAGGCCTATGCCTAAAAAGCATCCAAAAGGCTAATCAGTGTAACAGATATATTTATCTTTAATAATTATAATTATTCTGACCTGTACTTGGTAAAATGCTTGCAGGAATAAGTGAATAAGTGACAAGATGTTTAATTGCCTTAAATAGTCTTGCCCTGTGGTTTGAAGGATATTGGCAAAGTAATAAAGATTTAAAATGACTATTATTATTTTAAAGGCTGCACTGTGATTTTCACAGATTATTTTAATGTCACTGTTGTTCTAAATATGCATGACACACTATTTATTTTTCTTTTGGTCTAGAAACTTAGAAACTAGGAATGGCATTTATGAATGTTGTCTTGTTTTAATGCTTAATAATTCCTCCTTTGACCTAACTCTTTTAAAATAAAAAGGTTTTTTAAATTGTAATTGCTATTTCAGTTTTACTACAGCACTATTTCATTAAATTACCCACACGTCCTTCAAACATGCTTATTAAAACTGTCCTCCAGAGACCTGATGTGGTCCTTTGGATCTCCAGCAGATGGGGACAAATATTAGAAATGTAGATTCTCAACTCCTTTTTATTTGAAGTGGAAATAAGTGAAAAGATAATGAAAGTATAAGCCAATCTTGCATTTCATTGTTTTATTATTGTTATTTTCAGATGGAGAAGAGGACACATTAATGAATGACTTAATGGTGGACTGGTTTACCCTCATCAGAAACAAGCAGGTCTACATGAGACGGGAGTCTGAGCTTGTGTATATGTAAGAGTGCATAATCTCTCTGCATTGCTGCGTTAATGTTGACTCCTCAGTATTCAAGACTTCTTCTTTGTGTTGTTTTTTTTTCTGTGATTGGGCTATGATAGTGCCAGGACGCAGGATCTTGAGGAAGAGCAGCCCAGTGTTGATGCCGAACTCCGGAGACTTATGGAGAAACCAGGTTAGCATCACACTGAACAAGTCTATCTTTTTTTTGTTTGCATTAAGCAACAAAAAAATAAATGCGGTTTGCATTTTTTTTCTGTTTCTGAGCTTCTTCTAAAAAAAATTATAAATAGGCAAACGATTGGCAGTTTTCTTTCTGGGTGGAGCTATATATATATATATATATATATATATATCTCCACCAAGAATCTATATATATATATATATATATATATATATATATATATATATATA